CCACTCAGACCTATAGTCAGCTCCATAGGCTCAACTCTACAAAACCTAGCCAAATTTCTCGCCAAACAACTACAGCCCTATGCAGAATCCATCACCTCACACGTAAAAAACTCATTCCAGTTTATAGAGATCATAAAGAAACAAAATTTACAGCCCAGCGACCTACTAGTGAGCTTCGATGTCATATCCCTCTTCACCCAAGTGCCTATCAAAGAAGCCATGACAGCTATTCAAAACAAATATAACCCCCCCAAACACATCTTAGATCTGACCAACCACTGCCTATCCAACACATACTTCATCTATAATGGACAAAAATACAAACAAACAGAAGGAGCACCCATGGGATCACCCCTATCACCTGTCATTGCCAACCTCTACATGGAACACTTTGAAACCCAAGCTCTAGAAAAATCGGATCACAAACCCAAACTCTGGCTCAGATACGTAGACGACACCTTCATAATCTGGCCACATGGGAAAGAAAAACTGGACAACTTCCTCACACACCTCAACAGCTACACCCCAAAATACAGTTCACCATGGAAATAGAAGCTAACAACCAACTTCCCTTCCTGGGTGTCTTAGTCTACAAGAAATCCAACGGGTCTCCCTAGGACACACATATACAGAAGAAAAACACACACAAACCGCATCTGCACGCTCTCTCCACACCACCACACTAGCACAGAATCAAACTCTGATAGCCAAGACACTCATCTCCAGCAACACAACGCTTAAGGTCCCCTGACGAAACAACACCTAAAACCCGAACTACACACTCTCACCAATGTACTAACATCCAATGGATTCCATAGAAATAAGATTACAAACCTAATCAAAAAAGAAACCCCCACTAAAATCCAAGACAAAGAACAAGAAAATGGCAAAGCCCTCCTCCCATACATAAAAGGCACCACAGACAGAATCAGTAAGATCCTTCATAAACACACCATCAAAACAGCATTCTGCACAAACAGAAAAATATCCACCATCCTTAGAAACCCCAAAGATAAAATTGAATTAGAAAATCAAGGAGTATACGAAATCCCATGCAACACTTGTCCCACCACATACATTGGACAAACCAACAGAAGAATAAGTGCACGCATTGAAGAACATAAGAACTCAGTCAAAAAAGAGGAACCAACATCTTCACTGGTCCAACACCTTAAAGCCACAGGACACGAAATTGACTTTAAAAATACCAGAACCATTGCCAAAAGTGAACATTTTAATAACAGAATAATCAGAGAAGCCATCGAGATAGAAAAACGCCCAAACAGCATGAACAAGCGAGATGATACCTCCCGCCTACCAGCCATTTGGAAACCTGCCCTTATTGACAAACGACTCCCTAACCCCAAAATCTTAAACCCCTCTGCAACTCAGACTAACCTGAGCACAAACAAACAGAACACTCCCCCAGCCAATCAGAGCACAGCCAACCCCCCAGCCAATCAGAGCACAGCCAAGCCCCTAACCAATCAGAACACACCTCCACCCAATCAGAACACAGCCAAGCTCCCACCCAATCAGTCCATACCTCACTCGGCAGTTAATAAATCAAAGGAAAGGGAACAGCCTTCTAAAACCACACATGCTGGACTCAAAGCAAGAAGCTAAAAACCACCTAGCCTGAAGAGCGAAGTGACTTTCGAAACTGTTTGCCAAGACACTTTCCAATTTACGCGGGAGGAAAAACCCGAACAACCATGAGACCTATATAAAATACCCAGCCGAAAACCTCAAAAAACAAAGATATTATTATGATATATATAAATCATATATATATATATATATATATATATATATATATATACACATACAAAAGAAAGAAAGAAAGAAAGAAAGAAAGAAAGAAAGAAAGAAAGAAAGAAAGAAAGAAAGAAAGAAAGAAAGAAAGAAAGAAAGAAAGAAAAATCTGTAGCACTCTACTTGATCCTTTCCGGTTTCCCAATGTTTCTGTCCCAAACTTCCATGGCACACCAATTCCAGTATAAAACTGTATGCCTGTAACTGATCAGATCACATCCTGCAAGGAACAGACATTTCTGTAAGCTAAACCTAAAGTTAATTATTTTATGTCTGAGATTAAATATATGCAGAAGTTCCATGTCACTTTTTTAAAAATTGATTTAAGTATGGCTGGAATTTGGAGTAGACATAACAGTGGCCCAACCAACATGTTTTTAGTTGAGAACAGTTTCTATTCTGGTTTATAGTCATGTAAAAAAAAAATCTAAGCACACTTTTATTTCATAACACTTTGGCCTTTACTTCACATGTAGGAAGAATTCTGCATCTTCCACTGAATTTAGCCTGGGTAGTTTTGCAGTCTAACTCATCTATATAATTCTTTTTTTTCCTAATCAAACAACCTTGAAATCAAAGAAAGGATTTCTTAGGTGCTAAAAATGTTTCCTTTCCAGCTTTTACATATTACCATTCCTAATGTGGCTCAATATACAAAATTTGATCTTTCAAAATGAGATAGAAATATCCCAATACTAGAAAAACATTGTAAAAGGGATAATTTACAGTACTCAAAGAAATGGATATCAAACAGGTTGTCATCCAAGTAGTTTATTCTATATTCAAATTTATGGAACAGTGAGGACAGGTATTTTCTATAGACTATCCTTGGGATCTTGGAGTCTAATTTGAATCTTGCTATTAACAAAGATTATTAAATTAAAATGTAACAAATTCTTTGTTTGGAAATATAAATATTGTGACAGAGGCAGTACTCTCCCTTGAAGTTTGTTTCTACAGAACTATTTGCATATCTTGTCCTTGGTATTTGCTGTAAAGGAGATCAATGAAAATCCTCAGATCCTGCCAAACATCACTCTGGGCTTTGGTATATATAACAACTATTTAACAGCAACATGGACTTACCTTGCTTCTATGGAGCTTCTTTCTTCACATGACAAATTTGTTCCCAAATACAAATCCAGCATCCACCAAAACTTAGTATGTGTTATTGCGGGACCAAACTCTCATCTCTCTCAGGTTATGGCAGACATCCTGAGTATTTACAAGATTCCACAGGTAGGACCTACTCAAGAAAAAAGCAAAACTCCTATTCTTTTTAATGGAATTTATTGGATTGGCTGTAAACTAATGTCAATCAGTAGATATATAACTTCAGGTTACACAACACTTAACATTTTTCCTATCCTGATTTAATGAAAATTATGTTGATTTTGGGCATCTTGTCTCAAATTGGAAAAAAAAAGAAAAGAAATGAATCCTCTTGGTCTTAAGAGAGATTTTTCTTTTAATTTAAAATAATTTTCTGTTGATTTCCGTGAAATTTCCAAACCAATTAAGGTAATAACAAGACTAAAATAACAAGAAATTGAAATATATTATATATTTTGAAGTTGAAAGTGGTGTACTATAATAAAATAGAACATATGACTGAATCGTGATTTGTTCCTACAAATGATTTAAAATAACATTTTAGTTTGTCTAAAGACAATTATGGAAATGTTTGTTTTATTGAGGCTAGGTGGTTTTTCTTGGTTCATTTTTCTCTTTCCTTCACTGGATTATGGAGTAGGAGCTTAAATGAGAAGGTGATTGGAAATTACACTTAGAAGGCAATTACAATTATCCAGAAGCATTATTTACATTACAAATTTCTCTGGTTGATAAGTAGTATCAAATAATCTAATACAGGTAGTTGTAGTACCAATAATCTCAGTCACAAGATTTTCTTCCATGACAAAATATGATTGCTTTAAATAATGTATTCATTCCATGCCTTATACCCCAGTATTTCAATCTACAAGAATGTAGCTGCATTCATATTCTTACTAAGAAAAGAAAGAAAGGGAAGGAGAGAGGTTTATGGTTCTAAAATAAAAAAACTATAACAAAATAGTGCATTAAGACATTATTGTTAAATTATTACTTAATGGATCTTTGGAGTTACAAAGCCTTAATGAGAAGTTACTCTGATCATCAAATTCTGCCAATGAAATCTTTTGCTACACATGTACTGTATATGCTCATTTTTTTCTGGATAAATATGCAGCAGGGTTGTACCCATCATAACCAGCTATGTGAGTTCTCAACAGAGAACTCAATACTAAATTGTTCAAAATGTTCAATTAATCCTACCTAAACTGGATGAAAACCAGTTTTTTGATGATCTGAAATACATTATTAGAGGCAGAAAAGAAGTAAATATACTACATCAATTCTGAACTCAAGTTTAGTTTAGACTACTCTGATAAACCATACAAACTGGCTTTTTATATTTTTAGTCTTCTCTCAAACCCAATGCATTCCACCCACATTGAATGTGGTTGATATTTTAAAAACAATGGGTTTATTTTAATTATTTTCATAGAAATTAAAAGATGATTCTTAATGAGGTATGAATAATCCCTGAAAATCAAACCAACAATATGGATCAGTCAGATTTAATTCATTTATCATTTATATGAAAAACATATGCCTATGGTTTGCATTTCTTTATTTCCTAAGGTTACATATGGCTCTGCTCCAGTGATGGATAACAGGATTCATACAGCTTTCTTTTATCAAATGTTTCCAAATGAACATCTTCAAATTATGGGGATTCTCCAGTTACTGCTTCATTTTAAGTGGTCCTGGATTGGGATACTTTTTCACAAAAATGAGATTGCTGAAAGATTTATCAGAGAAGTGCTTGTCTTATTTTCCCAGAATGGAATCTGTTTCGATTACATTGAAGAATTTCCAATAGTAACTTTTTCAAATGATTTGGGAGAAAAAATGGATAGTTTTCTTCAAATATACAAAGTCATTACAACAAGCATATCTAGTGTTGTGATTGTATATTGTGAAAATCAGATTATGGTTCTTTTCAGAATTATCTCCTCTGTTTCAGAATATTTGGACACAACATTAGAGAGAAAAGACAAAGTCTGGATTTTTTCAGCCCAGATGGAATACACTTCACTTCCATTTCAAAGAGACAGCAGTATGGACTTCATCCATGGGGCTCTTTCTTTCTCAGTTTCATCAAAAGAATTATTAGGATTCAAGACATTTCTTCAGATGAGAAACAGTGTTCCAGAAGAGGAAGATAGTTTTTCAAGGGTCTTTTGGGAACAAGCCTTTGGATGTTCCTTCTCAAATTCCACTTTAAATACAAAGTCAGAAGAAAGGTGCACTAGGGAAGAGAAGTTGGAGAATCTTCCAGACTCTGTTTTTCAACTGGGCATGACTGGGCAAAGCTACAGTATCTACAATGCAGTCTATGGTGTGGCACATGCTCTCCAAGCCATACATACATCCCACTCCAAGCACAGAGCAATGGCTGCTAGAGGGAAGCAGAAGCTTCTCTTTCATCAAGTATGGCAGGTAAGCTCCTATATTTGCTAATTTAGGAGGTGATTTTGCTTCCTTATCTACAACTGTCCACATAGTATATAGAAAGTAATTTAAATATAATGCTGGAGGAATGACTTAGATGGATCATAATGTTCACATCTCCCGATCTTGTATCAAAAGGTTAATTTCCCCCAGAATTTTTCTTTATGATGCAAAGTTCCAAGTATTCCAATGTATTTGGATTTCAAATGACTTTGATAATCAGTTGACTAAAGTATTGCTGCAAACAAGGAATGCTTGTTTGCAATAATACATTAGTTATCTGATGATCCAACTAAAGGTGCAATTATTGTGTCATTTCTCCATGACATTTCTAATTAAATTGTAAATAAGGACCCTGAAAGAAACATCTCCCATGAACCTTTCCCATGAGTGGTATTGCTATCACTTTTCAGAGCAAATTAGGTTGTTTAGGAATGGTGAAATATAATGAAATGGTGCATCCACTTTCTCAATGTATATCACAGAATTTTGAAAAAACAGTTAGTGCTTTGGAAAAGATGGATACATAATTATGACAGGGGAGAACAGTGGCTTCAAGCACTAAAATAAAAATTACAGTACAGAGAGGACACAATGGTGAGCAAGGAGATAGCAAAAGATGGCATGATTGTCAAATTACACTAAGGAAGAGGAAAACATGCTGTTGGTGGTTGTGGCACGTATTTCCATGTGATGGAACTGTCTTACACCACTGGGATTGGCTCATATGACTCCTGCTGGCAGAGGGGGTATGTTGCGGGTCCCATCAGCCCAAATATTTCAGCTGGTGGGGTCCAGGACAACAACCTTCTCTGCTGTTGCTCCTACCCTCTGGAAAATCTTGCCCCACCTGAATTTGAGGTGGGCCCCAACCGTCCTATCTTTTCTTAAGGGCCTAAAGACAAGGTTTTGCAAGTTGGCTTGGGGCCCCAGTGGGGGAACAGCACAATGTTGACTGAGTAATAACAGATCCCCCCTCCCCCCTCACATTCTGTCCCCCTCCCTCACAATATGTCTTTGGTGTTAAGGTTTGATTTTATCATTTACGTTTTAATTTAGATCTAACTATATGCCACCTATGTTACCCTATGGTAAGATGGGTGGCCAATACATTTTATAGATGATAGATGATAGAAAGATAGATAGATAGATAGATAGATAGATAGATAGATAGATAGATAGATAGATAGATAGATAGATAGACAGACAGACAGACAGACAGACATACATTAAAGGGGGGCTGTTGGGGTCCATACCATTTCTCTGTCTTTTTTCGTGAGCATTCTGGATGCTGTTGATTCAAGTGATGAATTAATAGTATTATTACTATAAATAGGGAGCACAACAATATCTTTTGAAATAATATTGCTGTAGGTTTTTCCTATTGTTGTATATCTTTATTAATTACTGTCATGTTCTTCTCTTGAGCTTCATCACTACCTGAGAAAAGTCTCATTTAACAACAGTGCTGGAGAAAACATACTATTTGACAAGAATGGGAAGGTTGCAACTGGCTTTGATATTATCAACTGGGTCACCTTTCCAAATCAATCCTTTCTTAGGATCAAAGTTGGGAAAGTAAATCCATCAGCTCAGCTTGAAAGCCTTCTTTCTCTATCAGTAGATAACATTGTCTGGCCCAAGCTTTTTAACCAGGTACAGTATCTATTATTCATTTTTCAATGGGTAGTTCACTGTTCATGCTGAAGCTGTTCTCTGAAATTAATGAATTAAGTACAAGAAAAACAATATTCTTGATACACAGGACTTTGAAGTGGATTTTGCAGAAGAAAAAGAAACATAATGTCCTATCTATGAGCTAATCAATATTATATTGAAGCCTATCAGATAAATAACAGATTTTTCATTTTACGTGACACATTATGCCAGAAGGATATTTTATGAGATAAGATAAGCCTTGCATACTAGCACTGAATCTTTCATTGAATCTTTCTGACCAAAAGAGAAAAGAAAAGATTTCTCCAAAATGATTATTTCTAGAATGTTAATTTTTAAATTCTAATTGTACTGTACTTTCATTTATTAACAGACACAACCTCTTTCTTTGTGCAATGCTCATTGCTCCTTGGGGTACAGCAAAGTCAAAATAGAAGGGAAGCCATTTTGCTGTTATAAATGCCTTTGTTGCCCAGAAGGGAAAATTGCCAACCAGACAGGTAAGAGATGCCATGCAAGAAGTTGTGTAATGGAATGTGAGAATACCCTTGGTGGAAAAGGGCAAGATATGCTATCTACAATAAAGAGTCAAACAAAGTAATTTTAAAAGGGCCTGCCTTAATCGGTCAATAGAGCTAAACATAGCAGAGAAAGGTTTTGTGCTTTCTGACTTGAAAGATTCTTTAATGTAGCTGTATAACAATGTAGAATTTGCTCACTTCTTTATTTTTCCTGTCTGATTTATTGGGGAGGATTGATAACATTTGATATCTATTAACTCTGAAGGTTAATAAGTTTAAAGCACTATGCAGGCTACACATTCTTAAGAGATGGATAACTACTATGTCCATGGGGATTGTTTCTAGTCAACATGGCCCCAACTCACAAAAAAAGGCAATGGGACATGATCTCTCTCTCTCTCTCTCTCTCTCTCTCTCTCTCTCACACACACACACACACACACACACACACACACACACAGAGAGAGAGAGAGAGAGAGAGAGAGAGAGAGAGAGAGAGAGAGAGACATCAATCTATCATCTAGCTATCAAATTCAAGGGGTATTCTTTTTGCTTTTCCTTTTTTCCTCTAAAGGAGGGTTTATAATCTTATTTAGAGAGAGCATATACATTGGTTTCAGACTTGAGCTAAATTGCCTGGTTCATACCCTTTTTTACACAGCACCAAATTGCATTCAGCTAGTTAACAAACTTCTTACAGCATACAACACGATAAAATGCAACATATCACTGAAGATTCATTTACTGTATTCATACATAATTTCTTTCCCAAAAATCTAAATATAATAAGAGATGAACAGGTTGAAAGGTTTCACCAGGACATTGCCACAATGGAAAAACAGTATCAGGGAAACTGAAATCCATCAACACTTACTGACTATTTTTGGACACTGCAGACAGATAATACAAACATTATGGAATTAAATATGTTATAACATGTTTTCCCCTAACTAAGACCAACTGGAAAATAAGCCCTAGCAAGATCTTTCAGCATTCCTATAATATAAGCCTCACCACAAAAATAAGCCCCAATTAAAATCGTCAGCCAGACACATGGATTTAGTACCGTATTTCTCCAAAAATAAGTCCTAACCAGAAAATAAGCCCTAATCTGTGTTTTATATCTGTTACTATAAATATTGTTCATGTGTTCTAATGCACCAATTTATTTCCCCTAAAGCAATAGTGTAAGTGGGAGGTATAATCCAATTTGAAATGTACAATGATATCTGAATGAGTAATCCAATTTCAAAGCCTATGTTATCAGACAAATTAGATTTAATTTTTTCTTGCCTATAACTTTCCAGATAAATTGAATTTAAATTCTCTAATTCCCAGACATTGTGATGAATACCTGGAAATTCCAGGGACTCAAATATTTTATTTTTAAAAGTTCAGGATGGTTAAGCTAACTTTCAATTCTTATGTGCTTGACAACTCTATTTCTCTTCCAGATTTAGATGACTGTATCCCATGTCCTGAAGAAAGCTATCCTAACAAGAACCAAGATCTGTGCATTCAAAAACATCCAACCTTCTTGTCTTACAAAGAACCCTTAGGAATCACTTTGACCAGTGTTGCTTTCTTTTTTTCTTTCATCTCAGCTGTGGTACTGGGGGTCTTCATTAAAAATCAGAACACTCCCATTGTCAAAGCCAACAACCGGAACCTCACCTACATTCTTCTCATTGCTCTCTTCCTCTCTTTCCTTTGCACTTTGCTTTTCATTGGACAACCTGACCAAGTAAAATGTCTCATGAGACAAACTTCTTTTGGCATCATATTCTCTATAGCCCTTTCTTGTATATTGGGTAAAACAACCATAGTGGTCCTTGCTTTCATGGTCACCAAGCCAGGCTCCAAAATGAGGAAATGGGTCGGGAAAAGGCTGGCCAACATTATTGTCCTGTCTTGCTCCCTGGTACAAATCACCATTTGTAGTGTGTGGCTAGCAATTTCTCCCCCATTCCCTGATTCAGACATGCATTCCATGGTTGATGAAATTGTTCTGGAATGTAATGAAGGCTCAGTCATTATGTTTTATATGGTCCTTGGTTTTATGGGGTTCTTGGCGGCCATCAGCTTCACAGTGGCCTTTCTAGCCAGGAAGTTACCTGATAGCTTTAATGAAGCCAAATTTATTACCTTCAGTATGTTGGTCTTTTGTAGTGTCTTGATATCCTTTGTTCCCACCTATCTGAGCAGCAAAGGAAAATACATGGTGGCTGTGGAGGTCTTCTCCATTTTGATGTCTGCAGCAGGATTACTGTGCTGCATCTTTTCTCCCAAATGCTATATTATTATTCTGAGGCCTGATTTGAACAGAAAGGAGCAGCTAACAAAGAAACACATGTGAAATCTTTTCGTTTATATTTATTTAGTAAGCTTCTTATTCCAGGTCCAACTGGAGCTTCTTTCAATTTGCTAAATTTGTTCAGAAATAGCTCTTTTTTTTCAGAGTAATGAAGAACAATATATGTACTTCATAAGAAAAGCAACCCCATTGTTTATATGAGCAATGATTTTTTTTCTTTTAAAAACACAGGAAAAACCATATAGTATATTTCTGATTGAGCAAATTATAGTTTTTTCCAAACATTCAATGCAGGAAAATGTTACATTTTCTAGAAAAAGAAAGTTTGCCAAAAAATCTGATTTCTAGTCCAAACTGCTCAGTTTTCAAACTAGCATTTCAAAGGGAAAAAAGATGGGAAACTCCCTACTTCCTTTTTCCTGCTTTTCCCTGTATTACCAAAATGTGTCTACACAGATACTAAGAGTGTGGAAAATTTACTCAAGCACTCGAGTGCCTACTACTATAGGAAGCATAAATTTTAAGGAGATTTGATGGAATGATTCTTGTGATTGGAATATAGAACTTAAAAATACCATTAATCCACAAACAAGAGAAGTAATTGAAAGGAGAATGATGAAAAGAAGTTATACTGTATATAAAACTTAACCAAAAAAGGGTCAAGTATTTAAAAGTAGAAATGTGACAATCCTAATGAAAGCAACAGTAGAAATAACTGGAAATATGTAAACTATGTTGGTGGGTGTTGACTATCACCAACTCACTCAGGGAGAAAGTGTAGATGATGACTTTCAAATCTTGTGCCTTAAGGAGTTTAATCTCACTGATCATATTCTAAGGCAAAATCTGCCAACTGTAGTCCTTCCAGAGAATTTATGATTTCTGTTTTGACAACTGGTGGATGAAGGTTTATTTATTTTAGTATTTTTATCACGCCCAGCATCAGGTACTTCATAAGAAATATATATATTGAGTGTAGGTATGTATATGCATATGCATATGTATATGTACACTTGAGGAAAAGAATCAAACACGAAGATAATTACAAACAAAACTCTTTAATAAACTTATTGTCATGGTTCCAAAAAGAAGCAGCTTTTCAAAGAACTTTGAGGCTTATTTACCTTAAAGAATTCTTTTATTGCTACATAAATCACCCCCAATCACCCGTAACAAAGCATAACTCACTCCTTCATTTTACAGTCATCAATCAGATTCTCCAATTAGTATGAAGTGTGAAATGTCCCTCCCATAAGCCTCCTGTTACAGCTGACCTTGGCAATGCTGTGCTGAAATGTTGTTATGGTTAACTAGTATATTTTCTCATGCACTAGGCTAGTATTGTCTGCTTTAACTCTAGAAGTGATATGCAGGCTAAATAAAGCATGTTTGCTTCTTCATATATGGCAAGCAAGAACATCCGATGTTAGCAGTCTTGACACTTAGCTTTTGTTGGCTAACTGCCGAAATTATCAGAGTAAAATACCAGAGGTTTGGAAGCTTGCTTATGAGACTGGCTGTTTTGTGCTCTGCTCATTCAGCGAGTTACCGGTCTACATGCTCCAGTTGTCCGTATTACTTGTAGTTGTCCTGCGTCTGTCTGTGTGATCCTAGATCAGGAGTCGTCGCCTCTTTCATTGTCACTCTCCTTGCTTGCCTCATTCATATCTGAATACCCGTCGCTGTAGACTGGTCCCCTAACGCCACCTCCCTGTTGCTGTGTGTGTGCCCAGGCTCCCATCTTTGGTTCTTACGCAGGTTCCAACCTCTGGCGTTTTACTCTGACAACGTCAGCAGTTTGCTGATGAAAGATATGTTAATTAAACAGTTTTGTTTGTATTTATCCTGGTGTTCGATTGTTTTCTTCAAGTACGAATGTATCCAGGATTTGTATTTTTAGTATAATTAAGGATAATGTATATGTATAGGTACTTTGCTCTTGAGTTATATCTCTTCATGCTTAGAAGGGAGAGAAAGTAAAGTAAATAAGATTAGGGTTGGTTAATAAAACACTACACACTATACAACGATGTAAAAAAGATGTTGAGATTCTAGAAAGAGTATTATTATTAGTAGTAGTAGTAGTAGTGGTAGTAGTAATAGTAGTAGTAGTAGTAGAAGTAATAATAATAATAATAATAATAATAATAATAATAATAATAATAATAATAACCCCCAGTGAGGCACTACCTTGACGTGGTTGTGGGGCTTGTGTACTCTGAGGAAGATGAGAGCTATGCCAGAGGTTCAACCATACTGGACAGGTCTCATCAGAGGAGTCAGACAAAGAGTGTCTCTCCCATAAAAAATATGGTGAGACGTAAATTTCAGAATGCCATACCGGCTCGGACGTCGCCCGGGTTAACAAGGTCCGCACTAGATATTGGAGTTCCTGGATATCTGGTGAAAAATGGGTTACAGGACTCAGGACTGTTGGCTGAGCAACCAGGGCCAGCAGCTGCAGAACTACTGGAAGAAAAGGTGTTTACCCGTCGCAGATACACAGTGATGGAAAACAAAGAAATAATGATCTGTTACTACAGATCAAGTCCAACAAGGCGAGGATATCTAAAACGAATGCACCAATTCTGGAAAGAACAACATCCAGAATCAGAAATAACAGAACAGAGACTAGCAGATCAACGCCGATTTATAACACGAAATAAAGTATTCACAGAAACAGAATTGGACGAACTGCAAAGGTTTACCCAGGGCAAAGAAATCAAAGCCTTACCAGAAGTAATTCAGAATGTAGAGGCAAACCAGGGGGAGTTGGCAGTGAAGGAATCCAGCAGAGATATACAACTGTTCTCATTTGGAAACCAGGCACCTCTTCCTCAGGAAGAACAAAACCCTCTAACTAAAGAAATAAAAGAATTGAAACAAAGAATAACTGAGCATCTAGAACAGCACAAAAACAACAGAATAAGGCTACCTGCATTGAAGCTTGTTCCAAAGAAACAGCTAGCACAAGCATTAAAAGATGCAAATACTGCAATAGCAAGTATAAGCACCAATTCACTGCAAGAAACAAACCAACTAATGTACAGCACAGCTGCAGTTATAACAGAATACCTGGGATGTAAAATCAACAAAAAAGAAAAACAAACAAACAGTGCACCACAAAAATGGAAGGTTAGACTAGAAAATAAGATCAGCAAGTTAAGATCACATGCAAGCAAGCTAGAACAGATGAAAGAAAAGAAGCTGAAGAACAAAAGAATACCTAATCAAGAAATACCACTTAGAAACAAGGAAGATCAAGGAAGCCCTGGAAATAATAAAGCAACAAATAACAGCTATAGCCAGGAAAATCAGTAGATATGAAGCTCGAATTGCAAACTATAGGCAGAACCTCCAATTTCAATCCAATCAGAAACGTTTCTACCAATCCATCAATGGAGAAACTGCAAGGAATCAGTCAGTACCTGACAAGGAAGAAACAGTGCAGTTCTGGAAGCAGATATGGGATAACCCAAAGAAATACAACAAGGATGCGCTTGGTTAAAAGAGGTGGATGCAAATAAAACAGAAGTTGAAATGAAAGAACTAGTAATAACAACAAAAATGGTAGAAAAAAGAGCAAAGAAAATCAAAAATTGGTCAGCACCAGGTGAAGATGAACTGCATGGGTTTTGGTTGAAACATCTAACTGTTATACACCCACTCATTGCCAAGCAATTCAACAATATACTACAAGGAGGAGAAATTGAAAAGTGGCTAACAACTGGGAAAACCTACCTAATAATGAAAAATCCAGCAAAAGGGGCAACACCAGGTAACTACAGGCCAATTACCTGCTTACCAACAACTTTCAAATTACTAACTGGTGTGGTAGCTGATGCAGTACAACAGCATCTAGTTGAAAACAATCTCTTTCCACCTGAGCAGAAAGGAAACCGCCCCAATAGCAGAGGAACAAAAGATCAACTCCTAATAGACAAAATGATCTTGGAAAACTGCAAGAGAAGGAAGACCAACCTGAATGTGGCATGGATTGACTACAAAAAGGCATTTGACTCTCTGCCACATGATTGGATAATCAAGTGCCTAGAAATAACAGGAGTCAGTAGAAACATCAGAAAATTTGTGCAAAGATCGATGGCACAATGGAAGACACAGTTGCAGATCAATGGTGAGAGGCTGGGAGAGGTTAATATCAAGAGAGGAATATTTCAAGGAGATTCATTATCACCATTACTATTTGTTATTGCACTGTTTCCTCTGTCAACAATACTGAATAACTCAGGACATGGTTATCAAACATCAAAAACATCTGCTAGACTAGCCCATCTCCTTTACATGGATGATCTGAAGCTGTATGGAAAAACGCCATCTGAAATAGAATCGCTGCTCAACACTGTCCGTATATATAGCCAAGATATTGTAATGGAGTTTGGCTTAGACAAATGTGCCACACTTACTATCAAACAAGGAAAAATAATGAAAACTGAAGGAATCAAGATGCCCCCCGAAAATAACATTAAGAGTCTGGATGAGGAAGAGTACTACAAATACTTGGGTATCCTTCAAGCTGACAACATCAAGCACACTGAAGTCAAGAAAAAGATTAGAAGTGAATACATCAAGAGAGTGAAGAAGATCTTAAAGTCCAAACTCAATGGAGGAAATACCATAAAGGCAATCAACACCTGGCCAATCCCAGTCATTAGGTACACAGCTGGAATAGTGGACTGGACTCAAGCAGAACTAAAAGCAATGGATAGGAAGACCAGAAAAATAATGACAATGAATCATGCCCTTCATCCACGCAGTGACATTGATAGACTTATCTACCAAGGCAAATAGGTGGGCGTGGAATGCTACAAGTACATCAGATGGTTGAAGAAGAAAAAATGGCTTTGGAAGAATATCTGAAGAACAATGATGAAGATGCACTGAAATTAGTATATCAGGAAGGCTTACTAACTACTGGAGAGACCAAACTGGCCTACAAGAAAGACCAAATGAAGAACAAAATAGAGGCATGGGAAGACAAAGCACTACCTGGCCAATACATTAAAAAAATAGCTGGGAAAGCA